CCTCAAGACTATACGTATTGTTTTTGTTATACCAATTATCAATCGGACGTTGTTTTGTGCACAACATTTGTTCCAAGAAAAATGAATCTACTAGCACTAAGAACTGGACATAGTTACGATCATGTGGTGTCTTTTCTTCTTCTTGCACCCTCATGTGAAAATGTTGTTGAAGTAGACCTTTTGTATGAATTTTGAGGAATATGTTGCTTCAATTTGAATTATTATCGATCATTCTTTGTGTTTGTAGGGTCTGGTTCGATATGGCACAGGCCCTGGCCGACACCCTAGTTCTCACGAGCTACAAGTTAGGTGCAACTCCCGACTCAATGCTCAAGGCTAGCCTTCATCCTAATTTTAGATGAAGAACTCGTCGAGCATCTCATTGCTACTAAAACTCTCAATGCACGATTATGGCCAAGTAAGCTCCAGTAATCACCGGGGCGGGATTCTTTCGTAATAAGCGATTTGGTCGATCCATGAGACCCTTAAGGCTATGGCATGTAGAGAAGCACTAGCTTTGGTAAGTGATCTTAACGAATGGAATCAACAAGTAGTGACCAATTGTGCAGCATTGATCAAGCATCCGAAAGAGCAATATAAGGGCGTAAGCAGTATGATTATTCAGGATATAGAATAAATGCTGAAAGTTTTTTATGAAGTGTAGTTTTCTCATGCAAGGCGAGAGACTAAAGCCGATGCTCATAACTTAGCTAGGTGTGCTACCATGATTAATATTGGGTGTCATTAATGTCTTCTAGCCATGCCGGCTATTGCATGTATTCATGGCACTGGCTTGTCTGGAGTTTTGTTTGACTGTGGTTGAACACTAACTAGAATCCATCTAGTTTCTCGGATATTTTTGGCTGCATTAAGATCTATACAGGTCAGTTTGTTCATGTTTTTTAGATGACTTTTTGCCGCTTCTACCTAGTGCTTCTGGACTACTCGGATTAAGTTTACTGCTGAACTTATGTTTTCGAACAGTCCGACCGATTGTTTGATTAAAATTGGTGCCTTATACAACAATGGAAGGCACTGTCTAACGCGATTGATGATGAAGCGGTCGCCTCGCTCATTGCAACGATCCGTGCTTCTGCCATCTCCCCCCCCCCCTATGTTGGTGCCTCCTTGAGTGCAATTCTCCGTTTATTTTTCATTCTTGTTGGCTTGCGTGCCATGTTGCCCTTTGGTGGAGGGGTGTTATGGTTTAGA